TCTTTAATGTGCCCCCCACCCCCCCAGTTCTTCCTCTAATTCCTTAAAATTCAGCTTGATTGATCATAGGTTATGGGCAGTTGGCTTTTTTTTAAGATTTTATTTCTTAGAGAAAGCACAAGTAGGGGGAGGGGCAGAGGGAGAGGGAGACAAAGGCTCTCTGCCGAGCAAGCAGTCTGATGTGGGGCTCCATACCAGGACCCTGAGATCATGACCTGGGTGGAAGGCAGACACTTAACTGACTGAGCCACCTAGGCACTCCTGGCAATTGGCTTTAAAAAGACAGTTGGTTTGGGTTCCTATAGTTCCTAGAATAGTGAACCATCTCTTCTGAAGTCTCTTCAGTAGGGTTTTTTTTTTTCCCCCCTCCCCAGTTAGATTTTTTTTTTTATAGTCTAGTGTCCTGGAGATGCTACAAAGAAATGTCATTTAAAACAGGAGAGCATTCCTGTAGAATGATCCACAATTTGGAAGTATTATATATTAAATGCTGTCCATTTGCTTGCTATTCTTTCTCTTTTCATTAGAGAATTATGTCCAAGCTGTGGAGGAGTTCCAGGCTTGCCTAAACCTGCAGGAGCAGTACCTAGAAGCCCATGATCGTCTCCTTGCAGAGACCCACTACCAGCTGGGCTTGGCCTATGGGTATAACTCTCAGTACGATGAGGCAGTGGCACAGTTCAGCAAATCTATTGAAGTCATTGAGAACAGAATGGGTGAGTGAGCATCAGCTATTTGATGATAAGCTTGACTGGATCTGGTAATCGACAATATGAAAAAAAAATGGATCCTTTGGTGGTAACTATTACTGATCACTTCAGCCTGTTCTTTGTAGCTGTACTAAGTGAACAGATGAAGGAGGCTGAAGGATCATCTACTGAATATGAGAAAGAAATTGAGGAGCTGAAGGAACTGCTACCTGAAATTAGAGAGAAGATAGAAGATGCAAAGGAGTCCCAGCGTAGTGGGAATGTAGCTGAATTGGCTCTGAAAGCAACTCTGGTTGGTTTGGTTTCCTTTTAAAGTTTTGATAATGGCATGGTTGATACTGTTGGAAGACATCATGGTATTAGTGTTCTGTTTGCCTAGGAACCGTGATACGGTTTCCAGGGAGTTGGTGGTCAGAAGGAATGTGTGAATTTATCTAGTTAGTCCTGTTAAGTAGTATAATGCTTAAGAGAATATGCTCTAGAGCCAGACTGGGTTTAGGTTATATATCTGCTACTTACTATGTGTGACCATGGACACGTTACTTAACATTTCTTTGCCTTATTGACTCATCTGTAAAATGGGGGTAATGGTATCTATGTTAAAATACTTCTGACAGTACAAATAGTATTTGCTTAATAAATGTAAGCTATTCCTTCCATCTCTGAGAACTCCTCTGTATAGATAGCGCCCCAGGTGATGAGGTGGATGGGTTAATTTAGTATTTACCCTGTGCCTAAGCTCCTGGTTTGGGGGTGGCAAGTGCAGGTAGAGGGGGGTGGGATGATACTGCTAGTATATGGAGGCCCACTAGTATTTGAGGTCTTAAACAGTTGTTTGGATGGTAGGTACCTGTTGTAGGTGTGTGGGTGACCTGGTGGGTTCTATCCTGGGACCCACTTGGGTCTGTCACCTCTCGCACAGGTGGAGAGCTCTACTTCAGGTTTCACTCCTAGTGGAGGAGGCACTTCAATTTCCATGGTGAGTATTCAGGTGATTTTTGTCAATATTAGGCTTTTCTGTGTCCTGTCTAGTTGTACATTGCTAACAAAGTCCTTTTTGTCAGGTTGCCAGTAGAAAATCAATGGATGGTGCTTCCTCATCAAATTGTGTGAGTGATATCTCCCACCTTGTCAGAAAGAAGGTAAATCTACATGTGGTCATTTCTTTTCTGTTTTCTTTTCAGTTTGCTTTTTCTTTTCTTTTTTGCTTCAAATGATACACCAGGAATACATTCCTTAATATTTGGTGTAATAAGACATTCATTTTGCAGAGTTGGTGAGGATTTGAATGAAGGTAGTTTTCACTTGACTATGTCTTCTAACAGTTTTCCAGGCCTCTTTTGGCCCAGGACTATAAGGAAAGCAGCTGAGAAGAATCGGCTCAGCTTGCGAAGCTGGCGGGTTTTCTTTGACAGTAGTCATTCAGCAGCAGACCTGCCGATACTCCTAGGAGTCCATCTTCTGCCTATAATTACAGTCGTTTTTTCCTCTTGTGGGAGACTGATTCCTTTGTGTCCTAATTCATAAACTTGGGGTTTGGTTACTATTCAGATCTACTCCTCACTCTCACCCCACCGTTCCTCTAGAGAGGCTGGATTGGTATGTTGTAGCTGACCAATTGATTGTACCGAGCACAGGTTGGCATCTGCTTCCTGTGGCCATGGGAGAGACCCTGAGAGCCGTGGATCACGGTGTTCAGGATCTCTGGACCATGGGGTGGCAGCAGTGGGGGAGGAGAGGACTGAAGGGGTTTTTAAAAAGTTTTGCAGTACTTTTAAAAACATTCAGCACATTTGTGAAGCGTTCCCAATTCTATCTTCAGAGGAAACCAGAGGAAGAGAGTCCCCGAAAAGATGATGCAAAGAAAGCGAAACAAGAGCTAGAGGTGAATGGAGGCAGTGGGGATGCCGTCTCCAGTGGAAATGAAGTTTCAGAAAACATGGAGGAGGAGGTGGGCAGTTAAGAGGGCTTGGACTCTTGCCTTATTTCCCCTTGTTCTCAGGGCCTGGGGAAACTAGTCCTCCTAAGTGCATGTTCCTCACCTTGAGCCTGTTTGGATTACTTGAATGCAACCCTCATAGAAACAGTGTGCAGGAAACTGGTTATGGAATGTAGGATGTCTCATTGACAAATGGAAACTATATACACAGCACAGGTCCCACTCTAATGAATGTAGGAGAAGGCACTTAATTGGCAAGACCATTGAGTTATTTCTGCTTGCTCCCTTTCCAAGTACCGTATGAACATTGGCTCCGTCAGCCCTATTGGAGAGACTTTAGGAAATGGCCTTACTAATTGTCCTGTTAGTAGTGTAGGGAGTAAAGCAGGCTTTAGGAGACCTGTTCACTTTCTCTAATGCCTACTCAGTTGTGTAAGACAGAACGGCTTAAACTAGGGTCATTTATGCCCAGGCTCCCTATTTATCTTCCAGGCTGAGAATCAGGCTGAAAGCCGGGCAGCAGTGGAGGGGACAGTGGAGGCCGGAGCCACAGTTGAAAGCACTGCATGTTAAGAGAGGGCGCAGAGCCTTCCTCCTGAGGGAAAGTGTTTTTGTATATAATGTATTTTTTCACTTTGGGGGGCTTCTTTTTGTATAACTTCAATAAAGATTGTAAGCAAAGGTTGAGGCTTTGATGATTTTTTTTTCTTAAATACTGGCTGACTCTGTGCCTTGGAGCACTCTGGGTATGATACAGTTGTCAAAGGTACTCACTCCCCCTGCCCCTTTCTGTACTGATCTCTGTTGGAAGTTCCCATCCAAGTTCCTGTCTGTCTAATGTGGAGGCGATCAAATCAAGCATAGCCAGGCCCTTTGTTTTCTAATGGTGCTATATTTTTTCCATTTTAAATACAAACCTTCAGTGGTGCTGTCCCCTTGATGGGGGCTACAAAAACAAGACTTGGTGAAGATCTTGCTCTTTGGTGCTGATACTGTTTGGTGGACTTTGTGAGCTGATAACTGTTACCCACCTAGTCTCCAGTTAGGGGTCAATAATTCTGTCCTGGAAAAAGAACTGAAGAAAACTTGTGAGGGAGGGGTGAGGGGAAGTGATCCTTGAGGAAAACTGGTTTGCTAACTGTAGAGAATTGAGCTTTCTGGTTTGAAAGTGGCTTGAGAGATAGACTGGACATTTGGGATGTGGTTGGAGGAATTTGTGGGGAGGCTGGCTGGTGGAGTTTTGTTTTCTGTACAGAAAGGCTGGAATATATCTTATAACTTGAATCCAAATTGTTACCCATCTGCAGTTTTGACTTGTCAAATAAAGATGCTAAAAAATGCTCCTGGTCTGGACTTGTGTTTAAAGATCTTCCAGGATGCCTGGGTGGCTCAGTTGGTTAAGTGACTGCCTTTAGCTCAGGTCATGATGATCCTGGAGTCCCAGGATCGAGTCCCACATCGGGCTCCCTGCTTGGTGGGGAGTCTGCTTCTCCCTGACCCTCTCTCCCCTCTCATGTTCTCTATCTCTCTCAAATAAATAAAATCTTAAAAAAAAAAATCTTCCAGTGGGATCCCGAACTACCTGAAGCATTTCAGTGTGGGATGTGGGGTTGAAAGGTAGAAACTGGCCCACCAGTCCAGTCAAAGGGTGCTCAGGATACTGACACTAAAGCCATCCCACTGGGACCTCACTGATGTCCAGGGTGCAAGGCTAGTAGGAGACCCTCCCTGCCTGAGCTGCCTCAGCCCTGACCCTTAGTTTAAGAACCTGTTAAACACCAGTTACTATTTCGATCTGAATTCCAAACCATGCCTGCCCTACATTACCTAAAGGGAGTTAGTAATTCTGACCACCCATAGGGTTACTTTGCTGTACTAGATAGACAGTAGGTCAGAACCTGCCATTTGAATACTGAATGTCAAGCAGTTTTCCAGTTTATATTTTATTTCCTAAATAGAAGAGAAAATGGAATTTTTCTGGGCTGGTTATGGTAACTCATGGCTGTAGAATCTTTTGGCTTTGAACTTCTTGAAGATGCCCTTGTATTGCATGTTCCAAGTCCTGAGGATTTTAGGCCTTTGACCTTTGGTTGGCACTGGGTTCTGGGGCTAGGCCCAATATCAAATTTCAGCCAGATTTACATGTGACCCCCTCTAAGTGTGTAAAGTATGGGAGCTCCTAGTTCATGGGGACCTTTATAGCCAGGAAGGCTTCCCGGAGGATGTCCTGAACGAAGTGTGGCAACAAGATGGGCTTTAGCGCAAAAAAAAAGAAAAAAGTTTATGAAGTTCCTTTAACAAATTAGAGTGCCCCCTGCTTATCTTTCAAAGAATTTATATTCCAGGCAATATTGAAAATACCTGACATCCATTTAATCCTCACATCCGTTTTACAAGAGGAAAACTGATAAAGGCCAAGTATTTGTGGAAGGTGGTAAAGCTGTGGTTGGACCTCCTATTTTGAGCTTGTATCTGCTATTTGCTTCTAGACCCTCTGAGAACGTGTAGTAGTAGAGCTGCAGGTCTGACAACAAGCCTCATCTAAGTACTAGTTCTGAGCCTGTTAAGCTACTCATGCCCACATTCTCCTAGACTCCGAAAGCCAGAGGGTGTGGGGTCAAAGCTGTGATGAGGGCCCAAACCATCTATCCTTGACTCTGCTGCTGAGGGGGCTCTTCTGCAGGAGGAGGAGGGTCAACAAAGCCAGCTTTTGGGGCAAGGGAGCTTGCTTCCAGTGAAGGTGAGCTGGACATCTGTGGAACAGAAGTGTATCTTTAGCAAGAGGTTTATATCTTGACTACCTAATGTAAACCAAGTTAACTACTGTGCAGCTCTGATTTCCTTATCTGTTTACATAATCTACCTAGTAACGATGTATGATAAAAGAGTTAATTCACAGAAACGACTTGGAACACGGGGGTCAACAAATGCTGGCAATTAACCACACCAATCACACCTGCAGTACCCCTAGCTTTAGGTGGTCTCTCACCGGAGGTGGGTACTGGTACTCCTGGGCACTTGCTGGGTTGATCTCGGCCAGTGTCTGGACACCTTCATCTCTTGCGTTAACCAGTCGCAGAAAGAGCTCAACCTCACCTACCTGGAGAGAGAGGAAATGGTACTGCATCTGTACCTGGAGGGGAGGAGATCCAGTCCCTGTCCACACTCACCTGGGGAATCCCATTCAGCTGTCTAAGGGTAAGGCTGGGGTCCAGAGGAAGGGCCCGAAGTGGAAGACGCCAACGGCCACTTCGCACCCTTTGATCCCGGTCAAATAGCACCAGTGAGGCCCAAGCCTTCGGCTGTGGTTCCCTAGCCCATGCCAGCCCCTGCCAGGCCTGTAGTTCACAGACCAGGGCTACCGGTGGTGAAGGTGGCAGCCTAGAACAACCGAAACAATGTCAGAAGCCAGAACTGTTCTTTCCCTGGACAGCTCTCAGAGCCAGTGGCCCCGTATACAGATGGGAAAACTCAGCAGAATGAGGGAAAAGTCTCAATTGTGACAAAAGGCATCCAAGTCCATCTCCACCTACTAACCTGGGTACGGGCTGTCTGCTGGCAAGGATGGCACAGTTGCCCATGGGCCCAGGAGCTGGAGGTGAGGGCAAGCAAAGGGCTGGAGGCAATGCTGTGGCCCCTCCTGTGTCCTGTCCATCTCGTGTCAGGCCAGTCATGAGTTGCACCCAAAGCCAAGAAGCCTCAAGGCCCCGAAGAAAGTCATAGAAAATGACCAGCCCAGCCCTGAAGAACACAGGTCTCAGCTGGCACCTATACAATCCACCCCCCCATCCCTTCCCCTCACCCTGTCAGTTCCCCAACCCTAGCTCTTCCTAGTGGGTCTCTCTTTAATCAGAAGGGATGACCAAGTCACAGGGGGAGCAGGCCTCACCCAGGGTCATAGGGTGCAGGGCCCAGAACGTCAGGAGCCGGCAGGAGGAAGTATGGATCCAGGCCAGGGTTCCTGGTCAGGGTGCCAGGAACCTGCAGCTGTGGGTGGGGGAAGAGTGGACTCCTGCCGAGAGCCTCCTCGGTGCCCATGCTTCCCCAACTACACAAAACAGAGCTGCCCTGGCCCCAACCCCTGGGTCCTCACGGCCTTTTCTGTGCCACTCAATAGGATGCCTGTGGAGTGCGGATGCGGCGGCAGCGGGGGAGCCACCGGCGGCGGGAGGCGCGGGGGATCTTCCCTCCTCCCCAGGCATCGGGGGGGATTCACCACGGGTCGAGGCTCGCTAGGCCCTGAGAGCAGAGTTAAGAGTAGGGCATCTCTGAGCAGGACGCAGCAAGTAACAGGGCCAAGATACCCTTTCCCGGAGAGCCGAACCCACACGCACGGACACCTGGAGATGCGCGAGGGAAGGAACGGACAGGGCCACAAACACGCGCCTCATTCCCCACGCACGGTCCCTCTAACCCCTTCCTTGAGCTCAGCCTGCTGGGGAGAGCTAAGTGGTGTGGAACGAGGGTGCTCGCTGACCCCAGGACGCAGGGCCTGCGCCCCTCTGCATCTGCAAGGCCAGGATTTCTGCCTCCAGGCGCCGGTTTTCGGCTTCCACCACTAGAAGCTCCCCCAGTGCGACACCTGCCCGTCTTCCTGCGATGAAAAAGTCCGACCCGTCACCTCTGGCCTCTGGTAACCAGCTGGTGCAATCCTGAGCAGCTCTCCAGCTTTAGGTCTCTCTGGACAAGGCTGGACTTGTAACATTTTAGCCATTGCCACAAAGACCACCCAGGTTTCCCACCTTCAGGTGGTCCTGATTGCCAAAGACGCCCCCCTCAACCGCCCTTTTCTCCTCCCAGAATTAAGACCACCGCCTCCGAGAGACTGTCCTGTTCACCTCTGTGGGTCCGCAGCCTCCGCAGCTCCAGCGCTGATGCCTCCACCTGCAACTGACATATCTGGCCCAGAACGCCGGGGTTCCGGCCCCCGCCTCGAACGTAGGCCTCACGCAGGGCCCTAGGGAGGGAGCAGGGCATAAGAAGGCAGCAGCGTCTTTTCAGGACTGATCAACGCTTCGCCCATGCCGCCCCGGGCCCCGGACCTCACCCGATCTCGGCAGCCAGAGTTCCTGGGTTGGCCTGTAGCACCGGACAACAGAGTTCCGCCTCTCGCAAGGCGTTGAGCCGGGTCCTGGGGCCGGAGGCCAGCCGCGCGGAGATGATGCGGATCCAGAGGCCCGGCCTCCGGAAGCCCCGCCCCTTCCCGACCGAACACGTGCGGCCTCCCTGCTGCTTGGGCGCCTTCGCCTCCTGGGCCCCGCCCTCCGGAGGCTCCCGCCGCGGCTCCGCCCCCAGACCGGGCCCCGCCCTCGGCCCCGCTCTGCCGCGCTCCGAATCCCTCGGGTCTCACCAGGACTCCGGCTGTAGCTGCTGAACGTGCGTCCCTAGCACTTCTAGAGCTCCCCGCGTTCGCCCGGCTTCTGCCCGGAGTTCTCGAAGCTCCCGCTCCAGACCGGAAAGGCGGGATATTCCGCCCCGGGTCTGGGCCAAACCTTGGAGGCGTTGGCTCAGTTCTGAGGCGTTAAGGGACCGAGTCGCAATGAGTCCGACAAACTCAAAGCCAAGGGGAGAGGGGCGGGGAGGGCCCGTAACCGCCCGCCCCCCCCGGTCCTTTTCCTTCACCCTCGCTGCGTCGCTCCAGGGCCCGGCTCTGTGACTCCGTCTCCGCCACCCGCTTTGCGTGAGTCCCCTGCAGCGCCCGCAGCCGCTCGCCAGGGCTTCCAGCAACTTCGGGGGTGGGGCCCTGAGTCTGCACCTCAGTTTGGCTCCGGGGCCCTTCTAATCCTCTGGAGACCTTTGTTATCCAGGGTCGCATTTCCTGTAGGTACAGCCGCAGCCGCTGCACCTGGAGATAGCGGACTCCGTGATCTCTGTGACCCATGATCCGCGTGACCTGGAGGCCTAGGGAGGTTGCTAAATTTCGAGCCGGTGGGGAAAGCCTGGGGTACCTCTTCTGTTAGCTTCTTAAGAGCCAATTTGCTGGCCTCCTGGTCTGGGAGGCCCTGGTGTTCTTGTGGCACCACCTGGCGACAGGGTGTGGGGATGAAATATCCTGAGGGTCAGAGTTGCTTAAATACCCACCCATGTGGCCACAGAGACGGCCCTTTTGAGAGGTGGGCTCCAGGTGTTACCTCTCGGGTCAGACGGCCAATGCAGAAGCGCTGAGTGTGGGTGGCCAACAGCGGCCAGGAGCGGAAAACCATGTCACAGGACCCACAGGACAGGAGCCCTGGCTCTCCAGAGTAGGAGGCCATGGGAGGGGACCCCTTTCCTGACATGCCAGCCAAGACCTGCAAGAGACAGGACAGAGAGCAAAGGAAAGGGAGAGGAGGATGAAACAAAGCCAGAGGCAGAGAGGAAAGGCCAGGTTTACTGAGTTTACAAGATTGTTTGGGGAGGAGACTTAGCTCCCTGGGCAGCAACTACAGGTGTAGGCAGGTCTAGGCAGGCCTGGAGCATGGGTGGGGAAAGGCTGGTCACTTTTGGGAGGAGCCCCTGGCTTGAAAAAGTGTCATAACGTCTGCTCCACGTCAATCCATGAGCGTGGGCAAGTCCCTTTTCACACTACATCTTGGTTTCTCCGCCTATGTAAAGGGGGACAAACAGCTGCCTCCTAGACTAGCTGGGCCCCTATCGCATACTCCCCATCACTGGTCATTGAACGGTCTCTGGCAGGGAAGTATCATCTTGTTCATTCTTGTTTTGCCGAAGTTACCCAAGGTAGTGTCATTCTCCGTTCTAGGGAACACCTGGGAGAGGAAGCAGTCTGCCCTTTTGGGCTTTCAGCCAGGAATCTTCTTTCCCCTAGGCTGAAAAGCTTTCCCTTGCACTCTGCCCCTGGGGAAGCAACCACAGCTTTTGTTATTACCAAGTCACACCAAGGCTAGCCGTTTTTCCGATTTCCTGTTTCTTTTTTTTGGGGGGGGGGTTGTTTTGTTTGGCTAGAGAGGGAAGATAATTAGCACAGCCCAAGGAATCAAAGTTCTGGGAGAACACAATGCATCTATCAGATGAGGGAATCAAATATAGAAAGGTACCCCTTCATTCGAGTCTGACCAGGAGACTTTTGTGCCGATCAGATCTTTGCCACCTCCCCAAATATATGTATCCATCAGGAGCTCTGAGTTAGCCCCACGTTTCTCAACAAACTCCCTTTTCTAAACAAGACAGGGACTTACGGTAGCAACTCCCTCACCACGTAAGGCCAAGGTGTGACCAACAACAGGTTCAAGTGTTTCAAAGCATGTGATCTCAGCCAGCTTAATTCCAAGCAAGAAAAAGGGCACATTTCTAGAAATTTGTGAAAGCTAGTAAGTGGCAAAGCTCAACACCCCACAGGCAGGATATCTCTATCTCAACCGACTTTTCACTTCCATTTAATACTTTTGCAACTTAATTCATTTTATAGTATTTCACGGATTCTAAGATGCACTTTTTTTTTTTTCCGTATTTTAACACAAATCAGGACCGACAATTAATGGAGTATCATACCTGGCAAGTTTTCTTTTATTTATTAGAGAAAGAGAGAACACAAGCGGGGGTAGGGGCAGAGGGAGAGGGAAGAGAGAGAGAGCAGCAGACTCCCTGATGAGCAAGGAGCCCAACTGGGGCTCGATCCCACAACCCTGAGATCACGACCTGAGCAGAAATTCAAGAGTCAAAAGCTTAATGAACTGAGCCACCCAGGCACCCGGCAAGTTTTCTTATTAGTACATAATGTTTTAAAAGATATATTCAATGAAATATGATAGTTCTTACTGCTCTATCCCAACCACCATTTCTGCATGGACTGCTTATAACACCAGCAGGAGAGACTATGTAATATAGTGTGTGGCAGATAGGGTCTCTGCCTTCCTAGCCTTACAGAATCTAGCAAATGTCATGCTGCTCTCTCTGCCTCTAGCCTCTATCCCTTTTGGAGACACTACAAGTTGGTTATCTTTCGAACATGCAATCAGGGCTGTTACCCTGTTGGTTGTCTCCCATTAATGATCCTGGACCTCTATGTCCACCAGGAACCATGTACTTACTGTAGGGATGGCCAAAGAGTGTCAGTGTCAGTGTGTGCTTACTTTAACTTCTACTTGTCCATCAGATTTTGGCCCAAAAGGCTTCATTTTTAATATAATTGTTTATTCTCCTCCCTACTGGGCTGGGCATTCCCTACACCCCCAGAGCCTTGCAAAATGCCTGGCTGTACAGGGAGAGCTGGGGAAGTGTATGCTGAATGAAAAAGTGTGCCTCCTCCACTGGTCACCACTGGTCAACCTCCATGGGTCACAGCACGGGCTCAAACCCTTTCCCATGTTCCTGTTTAGCAGGAAAACTGAGGCACAGAACCTTCCTTAAAACATGCACACTCGTAAATACCCAGGCAAGTGAAAATCAGTTTCAGGAAGGAAACTTGGGTTTCTGATTTTATTACTGATAATTTATTGCACAAGTTTTTCTGCATCAAAAAAGTATCTGCTAAAAGGAGAAACAGCTGTGTCTAATTCAGATTTCCCTAAGACTTCTAAAAGTATTTCCCTCAAAGAATCCACTCATCTAGTTTTAAAGGAAATATACTTCTTACACAAGACGATCGAAACTGATGCAAAATATTTATTCCAAGTTAGTTATTTTATGCAGTAGTTTTCCCCCTCAACAGACTTGTGATAACCACATCTTTTAAATCTGTAAATAATGTTATCAAAATAATCTTAATCTTTGAAATCTCACAAAAATTTATATTTTACAATCCACCCTGAATATCAAGGCTGCAAGAATAACACATTTCCTATATCCAAATATTTTACAGCTGTACCCAAAAAAGGAAAAAAAAAAAGAAAACCATGTATGCTTGGTTATGGGCTAACGTTACCCGAGCAGCCAAAAATAAAATAAAATATCCAAATTATTAGCATTAATTTAATACAATTATAACTTCAATAGTCACTTTGTCATTGACAATGATTGCTTGAGCACGGGGGTGAGCGCCCCAAAGGCTGGCAGCAGAAGCTGTGCTGCTGAGCAGCCTCCCCTCTCTGCACGGGCAGCTCCCACCCGTGTGTCGCCCCCTAGATACTGTGTCTGTGTGTGTGTGTATTTAAAAAATCTTTCCCATCACACAAACTTCTCTCTATTAAGCAGATAACAGGGAGGAACAACAACAACAAAAGCTAAACAAGCCAACTGCTCTCTCTTTGGGATATGATTATTTTCCCTTGTGCATGAAGGATTCAACAACAGAAGAAAAGGAAAAGAACGATTTCTTTTGTAGACTCCCTAAACACACAAGCTGAGTTTACTGGGTCAGATCTGTGAGCATTTATACGCCTACTTCCAGGCATCGTCATCTGATGTTTCACTGCTACTGGTTTCCGTGTCTGAGTCCTCAAACTCCGCTTTACAAGTGCTTCTCCAAGGGGAGAACAGGCTGGAACCGCGGCTCTGCAAAAAGCTGTTCTTCCCAAAGCCATTTCTTCTCAGCTATGGTTAGCAGGAAGAGAAAAAAGAAAACCATCAAAGACTACACTGGCAGTGGGACCTGGAAAAGGCAGGTATTCAATTCTAGGCAGAATGTAGAGGGGGCCCTTCTAAGAGATCCAAGATTTCTTACAGCTGTGCTTTTTAAACTTTAATGTGCAAATCAATCATCTACGGATCTTTTTTAAAAATGCAGATTCTGATTCAGTAGGCAGGGTTTCAGATTCTCTATTTCTACAAGTTCTCAGGTGATGACAACGATTGAGAGAATAGTTCTGCGTAGCAGAGTCTTTATGTCAGCTGTAATTTCTCTTTATAGGACTTAATACGGTTGTTATTTGTGCTTTAAATATAAATACCATAAATAAAAATAAGTGTTAAGTAAAATGTAAATATAAATACCACCAGAATATAAGCTCCATGAAGTCTGTAGACTCCATTTACCTTGTTCATTGCTATAAATCTCAGGATCTGGCAGTGTTTCACTCAGAGGAAGCATCGAACTATTTGCTGGATAAATTGAGAGGTAGTTTCTTGGCTCCAGCCAGAATACCAGAGAGAAACCACAGGGCTGGAGGCGCTGGGCAGGGGGAATAAGCCTGCTTCCCTAGAGACCCAGGGCTCAGCCCATAACCCTGGAACACAGCCTTGTGGTTCTGATAAGGGGGTAGAGCTGCCAGGATGAAAGAATATACTACTTTCTAGAATGTGCTAACTACTGACCCAGTTTTTGTATCCACTACTGGAGATCCCTGTTGCCTAGGCACTGATTCACTCTTCTGTATTTCTACTATGGCAACTTACTTTTTATTTTCTTTTCCAAGGTCCCTTCTCTCACACGAAACTGAGGCTCTCTAACGGCAATGGCTGCCCTGTTCCTTTCTCTCCTAGTCATTAACAGATCTCCAGGGAAGGTTTATGACATACCTGCTCTGTCTTCATGTGGAACTCTCTAAGCTCATCCTCTGTGAGGGGGAGGCAATTCTCATCATTTTCAGGATATTCCTGCCATCCCATTGCTTTCAATAACCTGGTAGAGGGAGGTCAGGCAAAGAAAATATGACATCTTTAAGCATAAGTGGGAAGCCCACAACTTTCCAGAGAAAACTTACTCGCCCAGGGGCAACAGTACCCCACTTGGGATTTTTCTTTTCTCCCCAGTGGGATAAGTCTTTTTTTTTTTAATTAAATTTATTTATTTGAGAGAGAAAGAGAATGCATGCACACGTAAGCGGGAGGAGAGGAGGGAGAGAATCCTCAGGCAGACACCCTGCTGAGCATGGAGCCCGACACGGGCCCAATTCCAGGACCCCCAGGTGCCCCTCCCCAGTGGGATAAGCTTTAATTATGGCTACTTAGGTGTTTGAATTAAATGAGGGATCTCCACAGTTGCTCTTTCCAGAGTATAAGAGCTACAGAGAGGAGACAGAAGCAGCAGAAAATAAGACTGCATAAGAGCCAAAATGTAAGGGCCCTCTCTGACAGACAAAACAGAGGAAGGAATCTCACTTAAAAAAAAAAAAAAAAATTTATTTATTCATTTGACAGAGAGAAAGCACAAGCAAGGGGCGCTGTAGGCAGAGGGAGAGGGAGAAGCAGGCTTCCCGCGGAGCAGGGAGCCCGATGCGGGGCTCAATCCCAGGACCCTGAGATCATGACCTGAGCCGAAGGCAGACGCTTAACTGACTGAGCCACCCAGGAGCCCTGAAATCTCACTTTTGGGGTGCCTGGGTGGCTTAGTCGGTTGGGTGGCCGACTCTTGATTTTGGCTCAGGTCATGATCTCAGGGTCGTGTGCATGACGGGGCTCCATGCTCAGTGGGGAGTCTGCTTGAGATTCTCTCCCTCTCCCTCTGCTCCTCCTCCCACTCTAAGAAATAAATCTTAAAAAAAAAAAAAAATCTCACTTTTGTCTCTCGTAAGCAATTCAGCACATTTCCACATGTACCTAAGTCTTCCTTCAATTTCATGGCACCGTGGTCTCCTTCATACTCTTGTGATCTTGCTGACTTCTAAAGTTCTTTAGGACAGGAACTTCCTTTTAGGAAGGTACTGCCACACACGGCAGGCCCCATCTGCCATCCAGGTGCCCCAAACAGCTGGCTGCTCTATGTTCAAGGCCCTCATTTAAAGAACAAGCTCCATCCGTGGGGAGGCATGGCCTCCCAAGGCCTTTTAAAGGGGTCTTATAAAGGCTCACTTGGGCTAGGAGGGTCCAAGGGCCAGCATAACGGTCCTAGAAAATAGGTTCCCTTCTCCAAATGGAGTTATAAACCTAGTCTGAAAGTAAACTCATGAAAGCCTTGCAGAGGAAAGTTGTGAAAAAGCTGGCAAATCTGTAAAGGAATGCCCAGTGGGCAATAGGCCAAGCTGGGGCATAAAGAGAGAACAAGTTATGGCCCATGAACACTTCTCTCTGTAGGCCAGACGCCATCTGGGGTGTCTTAAGGATGTTCAAGCTCCTTACAGGCCATACACAGCATGCCCTGTGATCTGATCTGCACTCACCTGTGCTCTGCTTCCAGGGAGTGTGAAAGGACCTCCCCTTCCTCCTCTATAGGGAGACTAAGGCCGTTCTGATGACAGCCCTCCTCTCCGTTTTCCTTTGGTTCAGGGGTGCTGTTGTCCTCCAACTGAAAGAAGGGAAGGACACACTTGGTTCGATGACCCTTTGTGGCAAGATACACAATCTACAAGATTAAGGAGTCAGAACCAAGGAAACGTGCTCTCCAGAAAACAACTTCAGCCCACAGGTTTTCCCCATTTAAAAATGAGGACTTGTTCACCTTACTAAGATTTCTCAAGTATACCAACTGGTCAGGATCTTAACTTTAGGTTATGTCAGTGGTGGGAGACGCTACTAGATACTGATGCAGCATCAATGCTCTAG